GGTGGGATGGGATGGGATGGGATGGGATGGGATGGGATGGGATGGGATGGGATGGGATGGGATGGGATGGAGGCCCGGACCCCCGACGGGGAAGCTGCTCTCCACAGGGCTTGGCTTCATGGGCACCTATGGCCCCATCCTGGGCTGGGCTTGGGCCTCGCACGCCCTTGCCTTGTTCGGGCGCCCCAGGGAGATAGACGGGCGTGTCGCTGGTGCACGGATGGTGTTTGGCTCGGGAGTCCTGAGCGCTCGCTCCCCCATGCCAGGTGTCTCGCGCTCCGGTAGTGTTGGCGGCAGCACGGCTGCAGGCGGGAAGGTTTGTGTGCGTGTCATCGATGTTGGACTGTTTCTAGAAAAACCATTTAAGTCCTCGGCAACCCCAGGCATGCCAGGACTGAGGAAAGGCTTACTTGGAGCTCCACCCCCGCCAGAGCTCGCAAATTTGCAAATACCTGTTCGTGTTCCGAAAGCGAGCGCCGGTGTGCATCGCTCACCCACTGGAAACACACCGCCTCAAGCAGGGCTGCACGTCCGCCTTTCCTGGCTCAGCCAGAACGAAGAAGGCCCGGCAGAAGCGTGGGGAATACCGAGAGTCGCGATTTGAGCTGATGCTTGGAGAATCATGCCGGCCCGGCGTGTTCCCCCCTCTGCTCTGACGGCAGCTTGCCTCGTTTCTCCCTCCTCCAAAACAGGGCTCCGAGGAGACCATCCGGGTGGTGTCGATGGACAGGGATTTCCACGTGGAGTGCTACCACTGCGAGGTAACGGCCCTGGCCCCCCTTCCTCCCCCCGCTCGGAAGCACGCGAGAGGCTTCCATGGCCTGCAGAGGGGCGGCCCGCGTGCGCCTGGGATGCGCCGCTGCTTCTTCGTGCCTGGCCATTCTCTGCCCCCCGTCCTGTGAACATTTCCCAGTGGCAAAGGCTCGCCCACAGGACCCCGCATGGCCGCGGCTATGGCCTTTGGCAGAAGCGGTCTCTACAGAAGGATACGGCCCGGGTTCAAAGCCTGGGCAAAGGAAAAGATTGGGCTGGTGCCTTGCAGGTGTGGAAGAGGCTCCAGCTGAGTCCCGGGGGGGGGGAGTCCCACATGCATGGTGCCACCCCCGAGCAGCCCCTCTCCCCTGCCTCCACTCGCCTCATTCAAGGCAGTGGAGGTCCTTCCGCGTCTTTGCGTGTAGGTGGTGTGATTGTGGGTCAAGTCCTAATCCCAAAGCAAATCGGCCTTCCTCCACTTGGTGCCCCCCCCCCCAATTCACGGGACTTCAGTATCCATGCTGGCTGGGCATGATGGGATGGCAGTCCAATCCGGAGGGCAGAGGCTGGAAAAGCAGCTGCATCCAAAGCACCAGTACATGGAAGTGTGCTGGAAAATGGGCCAGTCGGATGGAAGCGGGGAAGTGCTGCTCTGTAGGACTCCAGGGTCTCGGGGCACCTTCCCTGGCCCCTTTTCCATGGGTTTGGCCGCCCCTCTGAAAGCGAGTCCGGCGAGGCACCCACTGCTCGCTCCACGTGGGCGCAGGAGGGATCCCTTATTTCAGCCCTCGGGAACGGGGGCGCCGATTATGCCTTGTCCCCGTGCACGAGAATCCACGAGTCTGTTTTGCAGAACTCCGCGGCTCAGGGGCGTGCGGTCCTCTCTCCTTCAGGACTGCAGGCTCCAGCTCAATGACCAGGAGGGCCGCCGTTGCTACCCGCTGGAGGGCCACCTGCTTTGCCACGCCTGCCACATCCGGCGCCTCGGCCTGAAGGTGCCGCCCCACCCTCCCCCCGGCTACCCCATGCACATCACGGAGCTCTGAGGCCGCCTCCTTCCCGCCAGCCAGGAGCAGGCGAGGAGGCCGGGTTCTGTCGCCACGTCCCACTGGCCTAGCGCTCCGCCGCCGAGGCGCTGCGTCCTGGCAAGACCGCGTGGAGCTGATCCCAGACCGGCGCGTCTCAGCGCTGCTTCTCCAGAGCATCCGTTTCGCCCAGCGCTGCCGCAAGGCTCTCGGCGTCTCACGGCCAGGCGGCAGAGGAGCACAGACCTTCGGGACTTCGCAGCCAGGCCTTTCAGCCTTACCAGCAGCCTAGCGGTGGGTCCCTGCAGGGCGGTTTTCCGGTTCAAGCCCGGCCGAAGGCAGCACCACCATTCTGTGCGGGCGCTTCCCCCTCCGGCGGGTTTGTTCCGCCGTGCTGTCGTGCTCGCCTCCGGGAGGGTCTCGCACAGAAGGCGCTGGATAGAAGCTTGCGTGAAATGAATGCGTTGCTGATTCACATGCCTAGAATCACGGCTGGAGGTTTGGGGTCCTGTGACAGGAAAGGGAGGCGGAGTCCTGGCGTGTCTGGTTGCCGGCTTGGGGACAGGGACGGGGTGCAACGGAGGAGGAGAGGTGAAGGCCAGCGTCAGCGTTCGGTTCCCGGCAAGGGGCCAGAGCGGCACTTGCTTGAATCAGCTGCTTGTGTGCAGAGGTGTCCCCCCTCCCGGCCCTCCAGACACGTCCGGGGGCACCCAGCTGGTGAAAACTAAGTTGTTGGGCCGGGTTTAGGAAGCTTTCTCGGTGTTTCCGCCATTGCAAGCGAGAGTCACGCAAGCAGCCGAGATCCAAGGGCTTCCTAAGCTGGCGTCATGAATCTCCTGATTTTGAGGCTTCACTGAGTCGCTCGTTTCTAAAAACTGGTTTTCCTCATAACTTCCCCCCTCCTGACCCAGCACAGTTCGACTTGGTTTGCAGCTGTACGAGACACGCTTGCCTTCGCCATGCTTAAAAGCGCCGCATGTGGATGCTGTGGCTTCGGGTGCAGGTGTGCTTCTTCAGGACCTCAAAGCACCTTTGCAGGCTCACAGAAGGTGTTCATCTGAGTTTGAATCCAGCGGTGTCCTTGCACTGGCGCGAGCATCTGTTGCTCACAGAACCTGCTTTTTAAATCCATGTACAAGACGCCAGCACTAGCCGTTCCAGCCTCTAGCAAGAGACCTCTGATGGGGACCGTTTGGTCGTACGGCCAGGCAGCAGGGGGAAGGCGTGTTGTATATTCCCAGTCCAGACTTTGGAAGGCCAGAGGTTTGAAATCCTAGCAAAGGTAACGAGTGGTGGGGGGGAAGGGTATTTTATAACAAGAGGGACACCGAATGTACCTGGTTTTTCCTGGATGTTTGCAGTCAGAACTCCGGCGCAGCCTGCATGTTTTCCGTAGGAAGTCAGGTGGCTTTGGCAGTCAGCTTTTTTCCGTATCGGGAGATCTATTGCTATAGGCATGCCATTACGGTCCTCTGCAGCCTCGTAAGAATTCACCAGCATTAAGCATGTTTTGTAAGTTCCTTTGCTTAACGGACACTGAATGGCTTTAACATCCTCTGGCTGTTACAGATCATCTTCTGCGGGTACTTGGGTGCCCCGGTAGTTCTGGCAAATGAGCCCCGGAGCAAGATCCGAGGCCGCCGAGGAGAACACGGCTTGCACAATCGGGCAGAGATGCCGTTGTGCATGGGGTGTTCTCTTGCAGTAGACCCCTGGGGGGCGGTGAGACCCCCCCCTTTACATTCCAAGAGACTGCAAGGCTGCAGGATTTTCCGCGCCTGTTCCCGCTGGCGCGCCGAGCTCCTGCCAAAGCGCCTGATCGCCTCGGTGGGAGCTCTGTGTTGCTTTCTGTCTCCCAGGAGTCACACATGGCCTCGCTCGGCTGGAGGGGTGCGATGCATGGCAGATGGTGTAGAATGACAACTCCCATCAGCCCGAGCCAGCACAGCCGGGGTGATGGGACTTGCGATCCGACGGCACCTGGTGGGGCACATGTTCCCCAGCCCACATTGCTGGGCTCCTTGGCACAGCTCATGGCGTTTCCCCCTCACTCTCAGGTTTGCATGCTCCGCTCTTGGGGTTTTTCCGATTCCCAGTTCGCCGAAGCAAGTTCCTTAAATCGTCTGTGTTTTCAGCAGTCTTTCCACCCCCCCCCACGCCTCTCCACAACTGGAGCATCCCAGAATCTGCCATTGTTTTGAAGATGGTGCTGGAAGGATGAAAACAGAACAAAGCAAGTCCCGCTAGTTCTGATTCTTCCGCTATTTCCAGCTTGCCGCCCACGGCCCAGCAGAAGGCGCACACGCAACGCAGCCTCTCGGTCAGCCAGCCGGTTAGAACAGGATATTTGTTTGATCAAAAGCCTTCCGGGTTTCCCTACACAGACCCATACATTTGTCTACATGCCGAAAGCTTTATTTTCACAAGGGCAGGTTTGTCCCAACCAGCTCGCTGCTCTTGTGGTCTCATGTTTTCCTGCTGAAAGCAGAATTTGGTCGCAGCTCAGCAGGGCCCTGTCTGACTGACTCCTCCGCTCGTCTTCTGGAAAGGAGCTTGTTTGGATTTTCTTAGTCATTTCATTAAAAAGAAAGCAGTCAGAAAGCCACACACCACAAAACAGGAAGGGTGCAGACTACAATTGCAGGAATAGCCCTCGTGTTTGTAAAATAGAGCAAAACTCCAAGTTAAAGGTGGGATTGTGTGTTAGCGATAGATACAGAAAGTCCTGAGCGTCTCCCAAAAGTCCATCAGGAAAAGGGTCCAGGAGAGCTGCCACCCGGCAGGTTAGCCTAGCCTTCTCCACCTTGGCAACTTTGGGACATGATGGACTACATGTCCCATCATCCACAGGCAAAGTAACGCGATGGTTCCCCCTCCTCAAAAAAGTGAGTGTGGATTTCAAAATTCCAGCTTATCCAAGAAGGGATGGAGTCACTCAGATACGTTAAACCAAAGCTCGAAAGAAGGCATACAAAAGCGGCTTTCTTACACCCCAAGAAAAGTATGTGATTCGTCGTGCCATTAATGCCATACCTAGAGAATATAATTTGACTTAAATTAAGTTTTCTTCTTGAGAAATATTTTCATTTTCTTTAAAAGAATATAGTTTTCTTCCAAGAACTTGGACCAATGTTGATTTTTATTTTGTAGGAAATACATAAATGCCCAATTTGTATATTATGCCTAGTTTACATTCTGCACATACATTAGTTTAACCTTGTCTGTACAGATCCTGCTGAATCTCTGGCCTTTTAGTAGATAGATGGATTTGTCGGGTGTTTGTGTTGTCATTTGGTTTCTCCGATTGTTGAACAATAAACGTTGGGAAATGTAGATTTATTTATCTAAAGAGGAAGCTACTTGCTATCGTCCTAAGTTATTTTAATATTAAAAGTCAGAATTTCATTTAACCTTAGATGTTATAATCTGCTTTTTTTCCAATAAAGACATTTTGTAGTTATCTTGGACCTTAGTGTGTTACCTGGCAATTGGCTGGAGGAGCAAACTGTGTTCCAAGACCTTTGAAATAGCGAAACTGCTTCAAGAAGGGAAATCCAAATAGGGGACATGACCCCTCCCCTGCCCCCATGCACCAAACGGGGCACATGCTGTCCCCCAAAATTCCTGGGTCAAGTGAGCACCCCGAGAGTTCTGAAAGAATGCTGTGGGCACTCCCCAAATGGCCGCCGTGGGCATGGCTGCTCGCTCCGCATCCAGTCACCATCCCGAGAAGGTGGACTGTGGAGAAGGAACCCGCCGGGAAACGTAAGGACAAGGCAGAGGGGCCCTGAGCCCCAGAAGAGGAAGCCCACCCTCTGAGCTCCGTTTTTTGTCGAGTGCGGCTCCAGGTAAGCAGCGCACCTGCCTATTTCCAGTGTTGGCTCTGCATGCGTTTTCCATGCCCCCGAGTCGGGAGTCCCCTATCAGACTGTTCTCCTTTTTGCTGTTGCGAGTGGGGTGTGCCAGCTCGGGTTGCGTTGCTCTTGCCGTTTCCTGCTGGAGACACTCTGGTTGGCGGTTTCTTTGCACTCGCTGGCAGTGTTTTGGCGAGTGCTCATCCATTCCTCCATCTCGGAGGCTCTTGCGTCTTATCCGCTAGGGTGGGTCGGCAACCCACTGCTCCGGAGCCGCACGTGGCTCTTGAACCCCTCTGCTGCCATGGATAAATCGAAGAAAAGTTTCTGAAGAAAACCAAACGTTTAATGATACCTGGGTAGATTCATTTGCTTTATTGCTGACGAACTTATGGGGTTTGCTGTTTAATGCATGCAGCCCTTTAGCACTGGCTTTGACTCTTCAGGAAGCTGTTCTCCTATTCAAAATATATGAAAGGAGTCCTACTAGTTTATAATGTAAGATGAAAAATAACAGTTTTTAGTGACTGAACAAGAGCTGCAGCTAAATCATAATGCAGGTATACATAGCATTAAGGTAAAAAACAATATATGCAGTGTGATCTTCATTTTAGACGTCAAAGGGGTTTTGTGGCTCCCGGGGTTTTCTTTTGTGTGGGAAACGGGTCCAAATGGCTCTTTGAGTGTTAATGGTTGCCGACCGCTGACCTAGGATCTGGAAGCAGTTGGAGATTTTCACTCCTCCAGTTGAAGCATTTCTTCGAATCCCTCTGGTGGGGCTGCCACCTTTTGCCTCCTTCCTTCCGTCCTTCCTTCCTGTCATTTGTTCTTTTGGTCTTTCTGTCATTCATTCTTTTGGCTGTTCATCCTTTCATCCGTTCTTTCAGTCTTTGTTCTTTTGGTCTTTCTTTTTTGAATTCCAAAGGATTTGCCTCGTTACGCGGTTTTTGCCGCCCCCCAAATGTCTCATCCTCTCTCTCGTTCAGCGGCCAGTCCGAGGTCCACCTCCCTCAGTTCATCCCCGTGAAGGGCAAGTCGCTCGCCCACGGCCAGCGCAGGGGTCCTTGGAGGGAAAGTCGGATGCTGTGGCGCTGGTGAGGTGGGTGTTGTGGTGGAGAAGAGAGACCATTTAGCCGTGGCTGCGGCTGCTCCTCGCTAGAGGCCATTCTCGGCAACTTTTGCAGCGGTTGCTGCTGGAGGTTTCTCCACGCAAGCGGATGCAGTGGGAAGTCGCTTGCGCTCCCAAGGGAAGCCCAGGCAATCTGTCGGCCCAGTGGGAAAAGTGTGTGCTGGGTCGGGCCTTCCATTTCCGGACGTTGGTTGGCCACCAGAGCTTGTTGTTTGAGGCGGGGGCTGCTTCTTTGCCCAAGAGGGCTGTTTTGTGGTATGTGAAGATGAACCCTTGGTCTTGTCTCCCCTTCCCCTCCCCAGTGACCCCCACCAGCTTTAGAATCCCCGAAGCACATTGATCGGTATTAACAGACACTGAAACCCCTGGCCTTCATTCTCTTTCCCCATTTTCTTGTCTGTCTCTGGTGCAGCGGCATTGATCTTTGTGCTGTCCATCTTTGCGCCCTCAGCAAATTCGGCAAGAGTTCTTGAACACCTCTTACTGTTGGGTTTTGCCACCCTACTTATGGAAGCTGCTGAGTTTATTAAACTCAGCTTTCCTGACATCAAAGTGGTCTTGATGGTGCTCCGTGATTAGCAGTTTCAGATGCTTAAAAACGTTGCTGACATGGTTTAATTTTTGCACATCTTGCTGCTGCTTCCCAACACAGTCGAGAGGTTTAAATGCTACCTCAGTCTCCAAATTCTTCTGCCACAGTGATGTGCCAGGTTTAAGGGGTCCTGGTTCTTACGGCATAGCATCAGTAGAAAAGTATGTGTGGGGCGGGGAGGGGAGGTGAATATTAGTTTGACCAAGCAATCTGATAACTTCCGTTTTAAGATGACAACATTTTTTACAAAGGAAAAATATGCTGATCAATTAGAGCGTTCTTCTAATTCTTCTGAATTAATTCTGCTGAATGAATGAACTCTTCCGCTGAAGATCACTGCGTGGAACTGAATGCAAGTAACGGCCACCGCAGGACAAGCAGGCGCTCAGAGAGCTGTCACTGCACACGGGGGCAGCATGGATGGCCCTTCCTGATGCTGCATTCATGGCGAAGTTGTGCCCGACCAACCCACTGCGACCCCACGGACTGCATTCCTCCAGGCTCTCCTGCCCTCCGCCATCCCCCGGAGTCCACCCAAGCCCACACCCACTGCCCCGGTGGCTCCACGTAATGGCCCTTCCTAGAAAAAGGCAACGGTTCACCTAAGTCAACATATTCCTTCTTTTCAGGCACGGACCGCTAGCAGTACCTCAGGCGATCCTCTCTGGCAAAGCCCCCGGCTAACGGCATCAGGACTTCCAAAAAGGAAAACAGGCTTCCTTGCTGGCTTCCTTAACTTGCCAGGGCAAACGGAATTGTTTGGCTGGGCATGTGCCAGTCCGAAGCCGCGCCATCTCCCAGACCAGGGGAGAGTCGACTGCCAGACAGCAGCCTTAAAAAAACAGCAAAGTTTGTGGCAAGCCCAGCGGAACTTGGAAAAAGTCAAGACTGAGAGGAACCGAAATGAAATGGTTTGTCTGCTCTGAGGGAGGGAAGCGAGTTCCCCTTTGTGAGCACCTGTAAAGGCATCCTGTGTGCACAACTCCAGGGCCTCCACCTTGGGGTGTGATTAGTACCTTCCCAGATGAGTCCAGAATTCCTACCCTCCTAATGTGGTGATTAACCAGCATGAATCATCCCTCCTACCCCTGCAGCTGGAGCGCCTAAATTTCCTTGAAGGTAGTGGCTCCCAAGCAATGAGGTCCTGGGCAACCATCCCAGAACATTCCCCCTGTGAGAAGCGCAGACTGACTTCTCGCTTCCGCTTATCCGTGGAGAACATGCTCCCTTCGAGCCAGAAAGGTGCTTTCTAAGCAGGTGTGTTGCTACCTGAGAAGCCTATTCCACCAGGTTCTCTGGGTGACTTTGCCCTACTCTCTACCTCTCAGCCTGTCCTACTTCACAGGGTTGTTGTGAGGATAAGATTGAAAGGAGGGGAAGGTTCCTTGGAGGAAAAATGACAGAAAATATATCTATAGATGCATCTGAAAATAAAGTAATTGGCATTAATACTATGGCCTAGCAAAACAGAAAATCTGAATGTGAACTGAAATACCTCTCAATGAAAGGGCAGCCACACCTGGAGACCCACACCTGGAGACACCTTCCATAGCGGTAGTCACGCCAGGCTCCTCACTCCCTGGCCAGCTGAGCCAAATTTCAGGGCCAGAAATTCTGAAATTCTTTGTCAACGCGACCCCAAGCAAGCCTTTGCAGTCCTCGGTGGATCCAAGCTGACAGAAGCTCTCCTGGGAAACTTTCTGGCACATTATCTTGTGGATTTCCAGCAGGGCAGTTTGATCTTAAGGAAACTTGCTCTCAGAGTTGAAACAAACTAGTAAGAACTTTAAGAAAAGTAATATTTGACAAGAGTAAGGTATTTCCATCTCCAGAGTAAGATACTTCCAAAATGGCTTCCATCTCTCACCATCCTTTTTCGTTCCCCTAGCAAAAATCAGTTATGTATGTCTGGGCACAGTGATTTGCAGTTCTAATGTTACGAAATTATTGCTGTGATCAAACTTTTAAATCTCAGCGATACACATGAAGGGACTTTTTAGACGAAGCCGTTTCTGCTCATGGAACAGAGAAGCTGGTGGGGAAGCCATAAGTCATCTTTCTGCCTCCCACTGCAAGCATCCCATGCCGGGCTTTTCCAGAGCCTCCAGCCGGCAATCCCCAGGCCCCATCTAGTGGGAGGACTGGCTAAGCACCCCCCCCCCACCGCCTTTGGATTTGCCCTCCCGTGCTTCTCCTGGCCGAGCGAGAAAATGGCTCCCTCACCCCTCCCCACACGCCGCACATTATCCTAGGCATCAGAGCCGGACACGATCTGAGCACTGAAGATTCGTTTGGGCAGATTCTGTTCCCTTGCGTTGTGTCTGGTTGCCTGGCCTGAAAAAGGGCACTGCCGAGTTGGAGAACGTGCAGGGATGAGCAGCGAAGACGAGCTGGGGCTGGAGCAGAAGTGGGGCTGCTCGGCTTGGCAAAAAGGCGGGAGGGAGGCGTTTGGATGGTGCCACGGTGTGAAGAAGGTGGATGAAGAGTGTTCTCCCGCTCCCATTATGCTTGACCCAAAGGGGACATCCCATGAAGCTGACGGGGGGTGGGGGGGACAAGTTTAGGACCGGTAAAAGGAAGCCCTTCTGCACAGTGTGAATGATGGGATTTGCTGCCACGGAAAGTGGCGAGAGACACCAGACAGGACGGTTGTAAAGGGGGACTGGGCCAATTCATGGAGTGGGGGGGCGGCTATCGGTGGCCACTAGCCTTGCTGCCATGGGCTCCCTCCTTCCCCAGAGGCGGCCTGCCTGCATGCCCCAGTGGCCAGGCCTGGCCCCATCCTGCCTGCGGGATCCTGGGGGCAGCCGGTTTGCCCCCGTGTGGACGGAGGGCTGGGCGCGACGGCCCTTGGGCCTGATCCGGTGGGGTTTTCCTTCTGCCCTTATGTTTACATTACGTATCAATAGAGCAGGCACAGAGAGGGGCTCTTTGCTGGTTGTGGCACAGAAGATGGCTAGTCCTTTAAAAATGTTTTCTAATTTTTTAGGCTCGTGAGTAGTCTGCGTAGCATAACCTTTGGAGAAGCCCCTGCAGGACGTGCCTTGCCGAAAGGGCTTTCCCACAGCTGAGAGGCGCTCAGCCACTGACCCCTGGCCAGCCGGGCCCCCAGGCGCCCGCAGCAGTGCCGTGGCAGCGGCTGGATGGCCCTTGCTGGGGCAAAGGGGCGAGGCTTGAAAATCTCACTCTTGATTGTGTGAGAGCAGCATCCAGGAAGACTGGGAAAGAGCACAATGGCCAAGCAGCGCCTGGGTGCCCCTTCCCTCTTCCGGGTTAGAAACTCAAAGAAATGGTAGCACTTCTGTCCGCTACTTTGCATTTTTTACAAGATTCTGCTGTCTGATCCTGGGTTACAGCTCAGGTGTTGTGTGTTCTCTGCCGTGAGGAGGAACCCACGCCCAAATAAACCCGCGTAGGTTGGTGGCACTTTCTGTGCCTTTTTTCAGGAATGCTGCTTGCAAAGCCATGTTTGGTGGCGTGCAAAGCCAGGGCCTTCTCCATGCTGCTCCCAGGTTCTGGCACTCCCTTTGGGGCAGGGCCAGGGTTGCTGCCTCTGGTCTCTACCCACCAGTAGGGAAAGGGCACTTCGTTCAATGACTTTGGCCTGTAAGTACGTCTCTTGGGTTGGACGCCAGTTGCTGTTCTTTGATTCTCCTTGCTGCATTTTTAATGTATTCTGCTTTAATCCATTTTATTATGCCTCTAAGACACTTTAAATGCCAATTTTTAGTAGAGCCAGGGTTACACTGCAATTAAATTGGGGAAAGTAGCAGCAAAAGGTACGGTTTTTATGGATAGAAGCGCTTTTTTGATAGCCCACAAATGCAGTTAATTTTTTAGCCAGTTTGGCAGCCATTTATGGAAAAGAACCCACTGGCCGTGCTGGGGCTGTGAACATCTCTGAAGGTTGTATTTGGGCAGCTAAAGCTTCTGTCCCTTTTGCCGCCGAGGACTGGCAGTGTACGATTTACTTTTCCAAACCTCTTCATCTGGAAGGTGCAGCCCAAAGCAGCAGCGGGCACAAGGCATCTCCAGGGGAGATCCTGGAGGCCTCCCGGGAGGGCTTCTGAGGCCGTTTGGTGAGAAGAGGGAACAGACCGAGAATTCTGGCAAGGCCACCGGCACCTTGGTGCAGCGGGAGGAAAGGCTCTGGGGTCCCGGGTGGCTGCTGGCTGCACCCCGGCCCCCCCAGGCGGTGTGGGAAAGTGAGCCAGAGGCCCACGGCTTTCCGGAACCACGTCCATCCTTAGGCCGGACACGAAGCTGGAGGGAGCGGGCGAGGAACAAAGCTCGGGAAACGTTCTAGATGGTGTCCTGTGCTAAAGGAGTCAACAAAAGCCAAATGGTCAAGTAGTTTTGAAGGCTGGGATGCTGAAGGTTTCTGATTTGGGCAGCTGAGGGGTGGCCTTCCTTCTGCAGAGGGGAGCAACGCAGGCAAAACCTGTGGAGGACCACAGTCCCTATCAGCCCTCACTGGCGGCTATGCTGGCTAGGCCTGATGGGGGTTGTAGTTCAGCGTGTCTAGAGCGTGATGGATTGTCACTCTTTCCCGAGGCAACCCAATGCCCCATCTTCAATCAGCACCGTTCCTTCCAAACTGGCGAGTCTTTTGAAGGTGTGGCCAGCAGCATCTCAGGGGACTTTACAGAGATATCCGGAAGCCCTCATCTCCTTCCCAAAAATGAACAGGCATGGTATTCTTTGGGAAAGGGTCAAATCCTTCCCCAGACTAGCATCCTCCTTGCACAAGAGGTCTTGGACTACAACTGCCAGCATCCCCAGACGTCCTCAGTGAGGCCTAGTCTGCAGTAAGGGAAAGCGTCAGTGGAAGGACCAAGCCAAATGCCCCCCCCCCCCCGCCACCCCAAACAAGCCACACGGAGGAAGTTTTAGTGAACTCCTCTGTAATCTCGTACAACTAACGGTGAGGTTCTGGAACGTGCACTGGCTTCACGAGACACGGCGTGGCTGGGGCGCTCCTGCCCCGGGAGCGCTTCCCCCGGTGCCGAGGCACAGAAAGCGGGGCTGGAGATGGGGAGAGAAGGGGACACGGGAGCCACAATTTACGGTTTGGCCGCTAGACACCATTTCCAGGTCTCACAAGGTGAAAAAAGGGCTCGTTTGCAACAGTGCAGAAAACACAACAACGCAAACAACCGTCAACAACAAGGCGACCTGAACCGGTCAAGGTGCTAAAGTGGGTAGCAGAGGCTAGAAAGCAGCTACAACATCGATCTGGGTGCCCAGTGGCCAGAGGGGCGGCGGCGGCGGCCGCACAGGGGTCAGGCGCGGTGCTTCTTGATGAAGTTGATCAGCCCGTTGGTGGAGGCATCGTGGGAGGCCACGGGGGCGTCCGAATCCAGCTCCGGCTCGATCTTCTTGGCCAGCTGCTTCCCGAGCTCAACGCTGTTTAAGCAGAAGGGAAAACGGAGGGTTTCCTCACCAGAACACCTTTTCGCAAGCAGCGGCCTCTCTCAGTCCTCACAATGACCCTGCGAGGGCTCGAGCCCGGCATGAAGTCACGTCCCAGGCGGCAGGGCCTTCTCCCACCTGGCCAGGTGGCTCATTCTTCCATCCTCGAAGGTGTTAATGTCTGATGCCAAATGTGGGATCCCAACCCCCCCAGAAGCGGGTGCCCTCCCTCCAAGGAAAAGCACCCAGGCATGGGTGGACTTACCCCCACTGGTCATAGCTGTTAATATCCCACACCACGCCCTGCACGAAGATCTTGTGTTCGTACATCGCTGCAAAGAGGATTAAGAAATGAAGGAAAAGGCCACCGAGGTTACGTTAAGGAAGTCTTTCCTTGTGAGCCCTTCAATTAACAGAAACAGCCAAGAGAAAGACGCTTACCAATTAAGGCTCCAAGAATGAACGGGTTGAGTTTAGTGAATACAATGGAATTGGTTGGGCGGTTTCCTTCGAAGACCTTTCGAGACAAACACAAGAAATGTGATTACACACCACTCCTCAGACACGAGGTCAAGACACACCACGCACTTCTTGCACACGAGTCACGCCGGACCACTTCTTCGGGTCCCTCGTTGCCACCTCCAGATCAGAAGCCACTGGGGAAGGAGGGGGTGCGTCTGCTTGTGCCCCACGTGTGGGTCTTCCCCAGACAGCTGGCTCGTGACCGTGGGGCGGATGGACTAACCACCCCTCCAGCCTGCTCCGGCACGGCTCCCGTGCTCCTGTAGCCACCGACTTGGCTTGGACCCCTCTTCCCACTAAACCCTGATGCACCAGCATATCCTTGTTTGCGCTCCTTGTTTCGGACTCCTCCCTCACCCACAAGCTTGCACGTGTATGCTCCTTGGGGCAGGGAGCTCCCAGCTCTCCTACACAAGGTCCAGAGCAGTGCTGCTTCCACCGAGGGGCTCAGCTTGTGCTCTTGACAGAATAAAGAGCTTTGCAAGAACGCCCCGATGCAAAGGTGAACCCAAGCCATGTCTGCCGCCAGGGTCAATAAGCAGCACACAGGGGATGACGGCCTTCGCTGTGCCCGTTTCCAGCTCTCCCGGGGTGCCTCGTCCACTCGGCCCCGTCACTGCAATTCCTCCAGCGGCCTTGGAAGGATGTCACCGCAGCCACCTGGCTGGGCTTTTGGTGAGATCTAAACCGGGCCGCATACCTTGTGCGGAAGCAGCTTCTCCAGAGCTTCTCCGCTCAGGCCGGACGCCTGCAGCTCCTTGCGCGCCTCCTCTGTTGTCTTGCCTTTCATTAAGGCTTCGGTCTGAGCAAGGAAGTTGGCCAGAAGGATCTAGCAGAAAAGAGGCAAGGTTCTTGTGGGGGACCTGAGCTGCGGTGACAGCGGCCACCTTTGGCATCCAGAAGGGGGCGCTTGGCTGCAATCAGTGGCACCTCCTGCTGGAAGGAGCAGGGAAGGTCTCTTCCTGGCCAAGAGGGCAGAGAACTGCTGCCGAGCCAAAGACTGGAGGGCACCATTTTGTGGCCTCGCTGGTGTGATGGGAGCACACGGGCACATGGGAAATTCCTGGAACGCTCCAGAAAATGTCTAGGAAGTATGGAAGCGGCCAGGCAACCTGTCCCCAGGCATCCTGCCTTTTTCTCTGGGGGGGCACTGGATGGGCTTGCAAGGACCCTTCGACCCGAAGGGGCGTTTCCCACCACACGCCCTGGAGGTCAGGAGCAGGGGAATGGCGGCGGAAAGGGCGGGCTGCCACAGCGCACATCTTCCCAGGTCACCCGGCGTCAAGAGCACAGGACACAAGGCTGGCAAAACCAGGTGCTGTGCGGCTCCCAAGCCGCCTTACCTTGTGATGGAGACCGTTCCTGATGGGATGCTGCGTCTGCGCCGGGATCAGGAAGTCGCATGGGATCATCCGCGTGCCTGCAAAGAGAGGGGACCATCTCACAAACGCAGCAAAGCATCACGCTGTCCTCTGCCACACGGCAAGGGCCCGGCGGCTGTCTACATGCTGCCGAAGCACTGGCCTTCTCGACCCCATCCCTGGGTTTTGCTGGCGGGGCTGATGGGACTTGAAGTCTAGCACGGCCTTCCCCAACCTGCTAGGGTCAAGAGGCATTTGGACCGCAACTCCCAGCATTCCCATCCAGCAGGGTGGGAGATGCAGTCCAAATGTGTCTGGAAGGCTCAAGATGGAGAAAGCTGGAAGGCTGCAGGTTCTCCGCAAGCTTCACAGGAGTCCCTCAGAGAACCGGCAGACCACCGGCCACCAGGTCCACCCTGGAGCTTCCTCGCTAACGCTCCGGGAAGCTACCTGCCCCAGTCCTCCGAGAGCCGCTGCTTTGGAAGCCCCCACCCCCCCGCCACACCTCAACAGACCACGACCATGCTTGGAGCACCTGGCGCCTCCACCGTACCTTGGTGGATCAGCTGATAGAAGGCGTGCTGCCCGTTGGTTCCAGGTTCGCCCCACACAATCGGACCGGTGTTGTAGTTCACCCGAGTGCCCTTCTTGGTGATGTACTTCCCATTGGACTCCATATCCCCCTGGGCAAGGGCAGAAGGGCAGGCGTCAGCCAAGGGCACACTTTGCTGGGATGCGCCCAGAAAGCGGACGGCGGCGAGCAGCAGGGCAAATGCGTCCGGAGTGCTGCGCAGGCCTCCAGCGAGCGGGCGAGGAGGAGCGCCACCAGGACGGACGGACGGACGGACGGAGGGCAGCCCCCAGCCCTCTACTGGGGGGCGTGGTGCACTGCGCCTGTAAACAGCCCTCTGCACACAACCCGTTTAGAGGTGCAGCGGGCCCCGTGCGGGGACTCTCCCCCCATGCGCAAGGCGGGCCTGAGGCCCCGAGCCGAGCAGCGTGTGGCGTGCGAGGCCACGGCGCCAGGGCGCCCCACCTGCTGGAAGTAGGCCGCGAAGCGGTGCATGTACTGGTCGTAGGGCAGCAGGGCGTGGGTTTCCGCGTTGTAGCAGTTGATGTACCAGATGCCCAGCATTGCCAGCACCACCGGCACGTTCTTCTCCAGGGGGGTGGTGCGGAAGTGGTTGTCCTGCCGCGCAGAGAGCACACAAACAAACCCGTGTCATCAAAGCGGCCCTGCAGCAGCAGCGCCACCCCAGACGCAAGCAAGCTCAGCTCCCTTGGGCAAAACCACCTCTTCCAAGCGCCAAAACGTCAGGTTTCGCCTCACAAATGTCGGCAAAGCTCCGAGTTTCACTGGGTTAAAATTCTAAGCCGGATCTGTGGATTTAGATGGCTGCTGGTGGTGGGCAGATTGCGGGGTAGGGGCCGAGCCAGGGGGGGGGAGCCAGCAGGTGAACCCCCCACCTTCAGCCGGAGGTTTAACAACTCCCCTCCAGCTGTGCAGCCTCTGAGCGCACGAAGATGGTGAACCAGGACTAAAACTAAGGGAGAAAGGGAAAAGGGTGTTGCTGCCATATGTGAGCTCAGAAAGGACCAGGCCAGCTGCTTGTTTTTGGGGAATGGCTCGAAAAGGGATGCGAAGCCGAGCTGGCCCCCGTGTATCTACCCCGCCTTCTGAGCCCTTTCCCCCCACCTGCGAGTGAAGCCCTTTCCCCATCACGGCTGGTGAGGAATGCGAGGAGCTTCCGTCCAGCACTCCAGTACTCGGCTGGATCGGGCCAAAGGCGATCTGGCCCGGCGTCCTGGTCGCGCAGGCGGGAGACGAACACACTGCCTGAGATTCAGCCTCCGTCATCCACGCTTTCAATTTTCTCGACCAAAGTGTGCTTCTCAACTATTGATCCCCCCAAAATAGGCCCACCCGCCTTAGCAGGAGGGCTGGACAGATGCTCGGAGGGCCACTGAGCCGGGAGGGCCGGTGAGGACACCGCTCAGCACAGCCGCACTGCCGGAGCAGGTGGCTTAACTGCCCTTTCGTGGGCGACGGCAATGGACCTTGGCCAGCGCTGAAGGTGAAGCGGAGATGCAAAGAGGCAGCCAGAGATGGTGAGGGTGGGCAGAGCCCCCCCCAGTCCTGCCAAGAAGCTAGACGGCCGCGCCCGACCACGGAGGGTGGCAGGGCACCCCGTACTCACCATCCAGTGCGCCCCCGCCAGCAGCTTCTCAAAGTTGTCAAAACCTAGAGAGAGCGCCAAATGGGACGCGTTCAGCCTCTTTCCAAGATCTACGCACCCATCGCGTGTTCCGGCTGCGAGGCTCGCCACCTCAGAGATCCTTATTCTGCATGATCTGCATCCCTTCACAGCAGCCCCAAGTTTTGCCGCTATGAAGCTCCATCCGCGTGGTGAAGCACGTTTTGTGGCCAATTTGCCCCACTGGCTCGGGGGCGGAGGACACGGCCCCAGATGCGGGGTGCTGAAGCTCTGCCTTGGCCCCCCATCTTCCCCTGTGGGGCCCTCGGCCTTTCCAACCACCACTTGTTTGGGGGTTTCCTGGCAGACAACTCTCCACACTCAAGTTTGCTTCCTGGCAGGGAGAGCGTACGGTGAAAGGCCCACCTCAGCGCTAAGCCAGTAAAAACCTTGCACTGCCCACGTGAGAAGCAGAGGGGTCCGGCCAACTCTGTTTCATAGGCAGAACACGTGAATGTGCCAGTGGTGCAGTTGTGAGCTTTTCAATTGCTTCCTTGACTGTGTCTCCCAACAGGTATGACATTCTTTATGGCAAAGAAAAACTTCCATCAAAAGGAGTTACTGGGGCTTTCATGCCGCCCCAGCGGGAATCTGGTGCAGCTGGGAGGAGGGTTACGTACCAATGTGCAGGGCGATAGAGAGACCAATGGCTGACCAGAGTGAGTAACGGCCTCCAACCCACTGCAAAAAAAAGACGGGTGGGGGAGATGGGACGCTTATCCGGGGAACAGCAAAGAAACCTGGAGGCCCGAGAAGATCACGCTGGGCAAAGCACTCGGTGAGGCAAGCGGGGTCTATGGCAGGCTGGGCCACAAGGCCGAGCCGCGGCCACGAAAGGGACCGACGGGCCCCTTGGGGTGACCTATCGGAACAGAACCCATGCTTGACGCAAGTGAGGATATTTAGAAAGGAACCTGAGCAGCAGGAGAGAAACACGTTGGGGAAGGAGCACCGCTGGCAGAAGGCGCTGCAGCAGCTTCTGCGTGCAGTATTTTCGGCAGCGCCCCGCACCCGGCATGGAGCGCGCGCCACGTGGCAGCCGAGACGTCGCTGCTGTCCGCAGCCAGGCGAATCAGGTGCGCGTGGGAAACTGGCCCGGGGCTGAAGGACAGCTGAACTGCCCCGCAAACAGTGAGCGGCAGCGTAGGCTTCGCGTTCCCGGGGCAGCACCTGCTGCTGCACCAGCGCTCACGGTCCGCAGCAAACGCTTCGGAGGAGCAGCCGGCAGCGTCTACGACCGGAGGCCAGCGGGGCGAGCAGCACAGACGGGAAGGAGACCTCTGGCTCTTCGCGGCAGCACGACGACTGGGACCGCGCAGGGCGCCCGATGCAGGCCAGGCGTGCGACGCAGGCCTGCTCCTCCCACGGGTCCCTGGCGAGCCCCGAGTTCCTGATGCTTTGCTGCGAGGCCGTTCCGGCCACCCGGATCCAAGTCCCAGTGCTGCACTTTGCCCGCCTTGCTTTCCAGGACGCCTGCCCTTTACTGACCTGGATTATATACATTAGGGTCTCACCGACAAATGTCAGTGCTTAGAATAGCCTCTTAAGGGCAAAGACGGGATCGGTGAACGGTCTCCTGTTACCCAGCAGCTGTGCAGACCAGCCGGGTCCGAAGGCCTCGCAAGCGACCTCCGTGGCGCTTGCGGCACGAGGCCTCTCACAAGAGGATCCCCACTTGCTCGTGACGGAGGATCCCCGCTGGGGGCCGTGGCATCTGCGCACCGTCTGCAGTGCCATCCTTGTCTCGCGGGCACCGGAGGAGGAGCGGGGCCACAGGGCGCGCCCCCTCCCCAAGGGAGTTAAAAGGGCAGCTCCACCAGGGCTGCCGCAAGACTCTGATCCTTGCGGGCAGCTTGGGAAGGGTGCTTCCTTCTCATGAGCAAGGGCTTGGGTCCCCGGGGACCACTCCCCTGCCCGCCACCCTCACCCCCAACCACCGATTACGGGGTGGCTCCTGCCTTCACGCTGTTTTACCCCCCTCTACAGGGCTCCCACGGTTCTCCTGCGGGGCCCAATGGAAGATGCCGGGATTTCTGCCCCCCCATGCATTCAGCCCCACCCCATCCCACCCCCATGGGACTGTCCCCCAGCCCTCAAGAGCATCTCTGAACTGGAATGTGGCCTTCAGGCTGAAGAGAGGCCAGGCCCCTGAAAGAAGAGCTTCCAGGGAGGAAGGGGCAAGCTTCGGACCCTGCCTGGGGCGCAGCTGTGGGGCCCGCCCAAGGCAAGACCGGCTGCGTGCTGGGCTGGGGTTCGCCGTCAGGCGCTGGGGCGGGATCAGAGGAGGTGCGGCGGCAGAGGGCCGGATTCCCGCAAACAAGGACCGGCCCCGCCGGCAAGCGCTGCCTGGCCCAAGCGGTGCACTTACGTCCCAAAACTCGAACATGTTCTGCGTGTCAATTCCAAAGTCTTTCACTTTCGGCTAGAGAGAGAGCGAGGAAAGCGATGGTTAGATTCCCACGGCGGTTGCAGGGAGACCTGCACAAAGCCGGCCAACCAGGGGCCATTCCTCAATGTTGGAAGCAGTTCCAAGCCCCACCGGTACCTCCCAAGAAGGGGAAAAGGGCAGCTGTGGAGCTCAGCAGGGCAGCCCTCTCTCTGCGTGCCCCAAATCCAGAGCGTCTCCTGGGGGGGCAGAGTGGGGAAGCCACCCTGCTGTTCCAGCACAGCCTCGCCAAGACCGGCGCCCCCCTGAAGCCAGCAGGTAGGTTGCTTCACTCTTGCCCTGCATTTCGCTAGGGACTTGAGCCGGTTCTTTTTAAACGAGCTTCTGAGTTTGCCGATGCTTAATCTACGTATTGCTAGTCTTGTCTTCGCGCGACTTTTCTTTTTGCTCCAGATGCTAGTTTTCGCCACTAAACCTGCTCTGATATTATTTCTGATTTTGTGCTGATACTTTAAGAGATTATGAGTCCCAGGGAGGGAAACAAGAAGGGTAGAAATGAGAACGTAGTTCCAAATGCTGGCTGGGGATGATGGGAGCTTTAGTCCAACCCATCAGACACGCACTGGATTAGAAAGGACGCTCCACAGCTCTTGGCTACATCAGAGGTGACACAGGAGGGTTCAGGATGCGAAAAAGGTTGCTTCCTCCATTTTCAAAGCATCCACATGGGTACCAATTAGCAAAACGGGAGGTCTGGGGCGCCCGGTCCCCTGTGCCATGTCCCTTTGACTCTTGAATACAGCCATGAAACTACAAGGTGGTTTCTTCGAGCTACACGAGTGGACACTTACCCCGTTGGTGGAGAGGGCGACAAAGTGCTTGGCCACAGCAGCGGGCTTTGAAAAGCAATGAAAAAAGAGGGTTAGGGGCAGACAGACATCTTGCAAAGCTGGCGTTTCGCTTTGGGGCAGCACAAGGAGGTTTTTCACTGCATCGAGGACACATCATTGTCAGATGTGAATCCTGGGCAGGGCGAGGCCTGCGGGGCAAATGGCCAAAAACTGACTGGCTCACATCGTCCCCGGCACCAGGGCACAGGGCCCTCCTGGGGTCCCAATCCAGGCCCCCCCCCGATGCTGCACCCCTCCCCTGATCCCACCACCCTCTTCCTCCCCAACCACAGGCCGTTTGCGGTTTCCGTGCACCTTCTCCCTCGATCTCACAGGCTGAAGGGCGCCCGAGGTTTTGTGGATGGTAGGAAGGGCTTTTGGCGAAGGTGCGCTGGCAGTTCTGGGCCTCCCTCTTGCCTTCAGCCAGCCCACAACCGGACGCGCCCCCGGAATTTGGTTCTGCACCCCAGAGAGAGCGGATGCAGCGCCGCTCACAGAAGGGCGCTTGGGAATGCTGTCGGGAGCAAGCGCACGGCTGTGCTCGTGTGAGCGTAGGCGCAGGTGCCCACAGCCTCTGGGCTGCCCGCGGCTGGGGGAGCAGGGCAGCCGCCACCCCAGCTCTGGGGCAGAAGCGGCTGGTGCATCCCGCCAAAGGGCCGGCTCGCGACGGTAAGGAGGGTCCAGCAGGAGGCGGCACAGGCATCCAGAAGGCCGGGGGGAGGAGGCAACATGGCCGCCCAGGGACCGCCATGTTCAGCTGAAAGTGCGTGGGCGGCCTTTCTTGCACTTGCTTTGGCCTTCTGGCTCCAGGGCAACTTGGAATCAAGGCTGAAAACAATGCACAAGCTCCCGTGCTGTTTGATGCTCCCAGCGAGGCCTCTGTGGGCACTGCTAGGGAATCCTGGGAAATCGTGTGGCAGAGCCAGGGCTTGTGGGGGCTGAGAGCTGTGGCGCCTGCTAGCCCTGCCTCTTTTTTAAAGGAGCAGGGCCTATCGCCTGGACTCCCACGTTCATCGGGCAAGCCCCAAGCCGGCTCCTCTGGATTCCACTTTGCCGGGCACTCTGGGGGAGCCCTCGCCCCATTTCCAGAGCTGCTGCTGTTTCTGGGCCACAGAGCCCAGCCCTGGGATGGAGGGAGACGGGCAGGCACAGCTCTGAGCTCTTCAACTGCCCCACACTCTCAGAGATTCCAGAGCAACACAGTCTGAGCCTCCCCCACGCTGGAGCGACAGCTTCCGACCGTTCCCCGCCAGGTGTTCTGCAACGTCACCCGAGACGGGGGCGGGTGAGCGGGTGAAGACGCGGCAGCAGGGAGAGATCCTTGTCAGAGGGTTATCAGAGCCCAGGGGCTCCGTTAAGGACGTCTATTCATAGCTCAGGCATCTGCCCTGGAAAGGCCAAGCCCCGTCTCCAGGCCAGCCAGTGGCGGGAGCTGCCAAGAGGCTTCCCGGCACGTTGGAGCTTGTCTGTGTCTCCGGGTGCCTCATCACAGCCCTGGCGTTGTGGCACGGCACGGCACGGCACGGCACGCCAAAGCAGGAACAGAGCGAGCCACTGGGCCCCGGACTGGCACGATGGGTCGGACGTTTCCAGCCCAGGCACGCCCCTTGGGACAGATACCAGCCCTGCTCTCTCCTGGGCTTGCATGGCACAAGCAAACCACCGCTAACCATATTTCGCTCATAAACCAGAGTCTGAATCCACGGCTCAAAGGCCTGGTTCACACAGGACACCACACCATGGTGTGGCTTGCTGAACTGGGGCTCTCCGAGGGGTCCAAGCCCACCCACCCATGCAGACCGTGGCTTGTTAAGCAGTTGACGATGCCTAAGCCATGCCTCGTCTGAACCCAGAACCATGGCTTACCTCTGGCTTGCCCGAGCCACTTTCTGCACTGAAACAGAGATAGGACGGAAACGGAGAGAACAAGGCAAGATGAAGTGCCCTCCTATGTATCCTAACCCTGTGGCAGAAATACTTCCTAGCAAGAACTGCCTGAAGATGCAACTGTTCCAAATGTTGGAAAAATGGGCAGGAGAGACACAGACCAGAAATGACGACAACACCCCACCACGTCTCTGGGAAGCACTGCAGGAGCTACGTTTGCCGACTAACTTATTTGCCGAGTCGAGTCCATGCCAAGTAGCGCATGATAAACTTTTCACTTACGTCTTTCGCAGTCTGAAGGAACCACTCTTTAGCTGTTTCCGCATTAGTGATGGTTTCTTGGGTGGTAAAAGTCTGCGTGTTACAGGGGTGTGGAAAGAAACAGGATTAGAATCCTGGCCCAGGGATCAAGGCAGAATTTACGCAACAAGGCTGCTCCAACTGGCCTGGCCACGGCAGCCCTTCTCAACCTCTGGAGCAGGGCAGTCCGACTTTTTGTACCTCGAGGGCCGCATGAGGACTCTGGCACAGAACCCAGCGGCTGCACTGCACCCCTCTGGGGGCTCCCGGCCCTTCCTTCCCTGTTCCACCCAGAATAACACCCCCTGGGCCCCCCCCCCCCGCCTTCAACACTGTGTGAACATCAGAACAGTCGCAGCTGTTCGATACCAGCTTCCCAGGCAGACCTACCTAAATGCTGCCTAGCAGGAACAAAGAGCTGCAGAGGGACCCGTGGGAGTGTTAAGGCACTTCTCCCAAACAGTGCAAGCCACGGAAGTTATTTTCAAAGCTATTTATCTGCACATCCCCCGGTTCCAGTCCACCTTCTGTTCTCAAAACAGAATTCTGTGTTCACGTGCAGAATGTGCTCAAGGGTGTCCCATAAATGTGTTTGTGTTGCGTCTACCACAGGAAGAGGAGAGATGCCAAGAAGACACGTAACTCCCATCATCCACATCTCCAGCTTTGGTGATAACACAAGAGGCTGAACAATTTTTGAGCCAATCTTTTGTTCACCCAGGCTTTCCGGAAAAAAATATTATTTCTCTTCCTCATGTTATGTTGCTTCTGTGTGAACTGCCTTATGCTTTAAACAGTGGAGTAAGAAGTCATGTTCCCCAAAATTCTGCACCCACGACGTTTGGTGTCTTTTCTGTTTAATGCCAACACAGACACGCACGCCGCTTTTTACTTGGGAAAAAGGTTAAACAGGAGAGTCACATGCAACTTGACGTATCCACCTGATAAAGCGCCCGTGATGGGACCACCCCGGGGAGATTCACCGAGAATGCTGCAACGGACACAGCCCTTCCCGTGACCACCAACTTCAAAATGTGCTCTAGCTCAACAAAGCCAGAAACTGCGTTTTGCACGCCACGATTTGTTCCCCCTGGGCTTGGGACAACTGGAAGGGCTCATTAGCACAAAAAAGGAGAATACTTTATGAATCGGGGAGGCATGGTCAGTCATGCAGTTCCGCAAGGGCCGAGCTGCCCATTGGCGTGCATTCAAGCGTTAAAAGGCCGCTTGTGGGCCAGCAACACTTCCCCTCCTCTCCTGTCCATCTCTGAAATGGGTTGATTATACAACAAGGGCTCGCCGAGAAAGCAAGCTTTCAATGCCATTCACTCCCGTCCAAATCTATCCAATTATCTATCGGCGACCTGGCAGAGCCAAGCCGGGGGGGTGGCGGTTGTCCCAATGGCTTTCCGGAGGACCCGCAGCAGCGTCGTCTGGCACACAAAAGCGGAGCCGGCAGTTGGGACGGCTGCCTGCATAGCTGAGCCTTGTCAAGGTTCCGCCGTCGCTTCCAGGATGAGTTCATGAGAGACCCGAGCACCACAGACCGCCCGGCACGTCAGCAGCGTCCATTAAGAGCGGCAGCCTCTCAACTCCACGCATCATTATCCAATGTAAAAGCGGGGCCTTGTCCTTCCTTCCAAACCGGGGCTGCCAACTTCGGCAAGCCCAGGGGCACAGCCGCCCACCCGCCTGGTCTCCGATGCAGACAATATGCCGAGACCGGTTCTGCAGCTCCCAGATGGATCCCGACTCCCACTCAACCTCCACATTCAATCGCCAGACAGGTGTTACAACACCCTCACCACTGAGGAAAAGTCTGGAGCCAATCACACAACTCCCCCATTACCTGCTGGGCCCGTAAGGCACACATCACAACCACCCCACGACGTGTGCACCGCTCATCCAAATCAGGACACTGTGGTTGCATCATGGGTTGAGCAACCCACAGTTCACCTCCCTGCCAACTATAGATTACCTGATCGTAAGCTACAGCATCCGAGGGAGTTGATGGCTTCACTACCCCACAAGCTATCCAGTTTTGGTATGAAGGAGCGCGCAGTTAACATGTCTTGGGGAGGGAAGGTTTTCAGCAGATCTACAGAAAGAACTAGTCGGGCTGCCTCCAAGCTGAGCACGGCATTAAGTTTGGACCCTCAAGCAGAAATTGCATCATTCACCTGTTATTTTGATAATTACCTTTACTAACCAGGCTCTTTAAGATGTTGGTATTTTTACTGCTGTATGGATTGTTTAGGATGGTTCTTTGGGAGATTAACGATGAGAAACTGCCCCGTGAGCCCGTCAGCTGCAGGAGGGTGTGAGCATGTGCCCTTTGGAGGAGGAGTGCTCCGGAGAGTCAGACTGAGGCAATTCCAGTCCCACAGTGTCAACCGATCGGAGCCAGAAAATCCCCAGTCCTGGCCAACCACCTGCTGCCTTGATCGGCACACAGGACAATTAAACTGCAGGCCGATGGGGCAAGCCAGGCCGGGTGGGACTGAGCCATCCACGTGAGCTCGTTGCTTGTTCATCTTGACATCCAAATCCAGAGGTGAATCCAAGGAAGAACTGGGATCCCAGTTCTGGTAGCTCCCAACAAACGCGCATCACGCTAAAAGACCGGGAGATGCCCTTGGGCTCCTTCGCTCACTGGGAAGGCTGCCGGGGGCAAAAATGGCTGCGCCCCCTTGTCCCCCCACTGGCTGTGATGCGTGAATTGGGCCCCCAGCTGGGGACTGGTGCACTTCCGTGCTTCACTTTCCCATCTCCCAGGACACACCTGGGCAAATCGCCTTTACAGGTAGTGCTCATGCAAGAGGGAAACACGAAGATGCTCCTAGATCAGGACGTACCTTCGATGCAATGATGAAGAGGGTCGTTTCTGGACTGAGCTGGGCCAAAGTTTTAGCCATGTGAGTTCCATCGATGTTGGACACAAACCAGACGTGCGGCCCGCCTTTGGAGTACGGCTTGAGGGCTTCCGTCACCATGAGGGGGCCCTGGAGAAACGGGAATGCCCGTGAGCGCTCCTCTGGGCAAGGCGCCTCCTCCCTCCGAAGCGGCAGGGGAAAATGAGCTCACCAAGTCAGATCCACCAATGCCGACATTGACTACATCAGTAATGGCTTTTCCAGTGTAGCCCTTCCAATCGCCGCTGCGGACTTTCTGCAAAGACACATGCCAGATCAGACGGCATTTATTCAGGCCTTATATTTAAATCCACCTTTTCCTGCAAAGAACCCAAGGGGAATGCAAACCTCGTTTCATTTCTGGATGCAAAGTATTATGGCAACGAGGAAAGAGAGGTGATGAATGTTTACAAGCGAAGAGTTGGACAGGCACAATAATTATCTATGGATAGCATATATACTAGGAATTATTTTCACTCCAACTACAGACAAATTTGATGCAATTTGTACCTGCCGAAAGTCTGGACAGTTTAGGGTTGTCACACGGCGCGTGAGGCAAGAGTTGCCACGGTGCCCCGTAAGCTGCAAGAAGACAGAAACTCTCCCTACCTGGCAGAACTGCTTCATTTTCTCCAGCACTTTGTTCACTTCGGGGACCACATCCTTGCCTTCCACCAATACCGGCGTGTTGGAGCGGTTCCGCAGAGCGATGTGGAGCACGGCACGGTTCTGAAACACGGAGGGGGCACGAGGCAGTCAGAGACCGTGTGGCCCACAAGGCCTCCTTCGGAGCACGCCCCCAGACGCAGAATCGGGTCACGCCGTATTCTGCCTCTGTGAAAGAACACACCCTTGGGACGGGCTCCCCAGGCACCTCTCCTTGGAATGCCCCCAGGGCATGGCCCACCTACCCTTGGGGTAAATAATTCACCTGCTCCAGCACCCAAAGCCCCTCGGAACGGATTCGGGCCCCATCCAGCCCCGGAGGAGGGCCTGCGCACCAGGCAAAAATGGGCCATACCTCAGTGAAGTTGATCTTTTCTCCAGTAAACATCTGCTCTCTGGCTTTCTCGACGCCCCGTGATTTGGCCTGGAAGGGCAAGGCAACCAACCGTTCAGTCCAAGAGCAAACAGGTTCCAAAGGCACTGGCCCCGCGGGCCCTCCCCGCTTGCCCCACCGTCGCACGGCTGGGCCCGCGTGGCTGCACCCCTTCGGGTGCACGGATGCCCTGGTGCCCACGGAGCATGGCACCTCCCTGCCCTCCACCTCTTCCTCCTCAAAATCAGAACAAGGTTCAACATTTCGCTTCCTTTACGCAGCAAGATGGGGGCTTGTTTTGCGGCTGCCACGACACCCTCGGATGGGCCAGGCGCCATCTCCCATCATTCCATTGCGCTGGATGGGTATTATTTATTAAAACTTTTATATGCTGTCACCACATGCCTTGGCATCTCAGGACAGGCTCACAACACATACAATTAGAAACAATAAAACAATTACAAATGCCATAAAATATTATATAAAAACAAAAAGGCGCTTAACGATAAAATATTAATTTTTAAAAATAGTAATTAAATAAAAAGGTTTTAACCTGGCGCTGAAAAGAATATAAACTCTGCGCCAGGCGCACCTCTCCAGGGAGCGGATTCCACCATCTGGGCGCCACTGCAGAGAAGGCCCTGCCAGTTCGTTTTATCTCCTTTAAGAGGGCTCCCAGAGCAAAGCCTCTCCCACAGACCTCAAGGGGCGTGAGGGCATGCAAGGGAAGGGGAGCTCCTTCAGCTATCCTGGGTCCAGGCTGTTCAGGGCTTTATAGGTTAAAACCAGCACCCTGAATTGGGCCCAGACTTCAACTGGCAGCCAGTGTAGCTGGTAGAGGACCGGGTATGATGGGACTTGTAGTCAAGCACAGCTGCGGAGCACAAGGTTGGGAGAAGCTGCTGCAAAGCGCTACACAGCCCGAAGCCACTACGCAAATGAGTGCTTAATTACCAGTTCCATTAGCATCTTCATTACATCTTCCGTGATAAGGTTCTTGGAATAGTCCACCAAGATGTCTCCATGTTCACTGTTCAGTGTCAAACTGTCAGAAATAATGAGAGGTCATTATGCTTATAAATTAACCTTTTCCTACTTAGTACATGAAAGGAGGCAAGCTTCTCCATCATTTTTGCTGTAGATATTATAATAGTTGCAATTTTAAAACACCGCTTTGCTTGGATAGCTTTTTAGATAATATGCATTCCCAAACAGGGAGCACAAGTGGTTTTTTCCTATTCGTACACACCCATTCATAAAGAGAACCAAACCAAAAAACCAAAACCAGTCGCTCTCTAAAAATCAGGAATATCAGGAGAGCCAGTGTGGCATAGTGGTGAAGAGCACGGGACTGGGACTCAGGCGATCCGGGTTCGAGTCCCCGCTCAGCCATGGAGCCCACTGGGTGACTTTGGGCCAGTCACAGGCGCTCAGCCCAACCTACCTCACAGGGTTGTTGTTGTGGGGATAAGATAGAGGAGAATGATTAAGCTGCCTTGAGCCCTTATAAATCGGTAAATAAATAAATAAAATATTTTAAGAATGCGGGCAGCTGAAAAATAAGCCCCGAGCTCTTTCCATCCAGCAGGGAAACCTAAGTGGAACAAGCCTGCTAGATCCTGCTTCACGTGAAGCACACGTGATCAAAGCAGCAAATCGCATCTGAACATGATTTATGTACGATTTATGTATCAGGTTTATATCTTTTCTGGTTGTAAAGAACTCAAAGTGGCTTACACTGTTCTCCTGCTTTCCATCTTATCCCCACAACCCAGCGAGGTCGGCTGGGCTGAGAGTCTGTGACTGGCCCAAAGTCACCCAGGGCTGAGCAGGGACTGGAACCCGGCTCGCCCGAGCCTCAGCCTTGCACCGCAGTGGGATTCCCTCTCTCGCCCATCAGCCCTTGGCCTGGTCTAGCGGGAGGCAGGGGGGAACTCCTTGACCTTTCTACTTAACACCACGAAAATTGAAAGCGTGGCAACAGAGGCTGCGAATCTCAGGCGGTAAGTTCGTCTCCCGCCTGCGCGACCAGGACGCCGGACCAGATCGCCTTTGGCCCGATCCAGCCAAGTACTGGTGTGCTGGACGGAAGCTCCTCGCATTCCTCACCAGCCATGATGCTGGGCGTTGTAGTCCAATGCAGGAAGCCAGGTGGGGAGTGTGCGGCCCCAGCCTGGCTTTCTCGACGGGCAGGTCCCGCAGCTGCACTGGCCCTGGGCAAGCCCCGGGGCGGACTGTGCAGGACGAGCCAAGCATGCCAGAGGGAGAGCCAGGCAGCGCAGCGTGCGAAGGGACGTGCGGCCAGGCGGGTGGCATGCCCTGCGGGAGGGGCTCGTCTGGGCACAGCCCCCCTCGCGCTGCTCCGGCTCAACTGGCCCGAGGCTGGCCTGGAACCCTCGCCTCTTTACTGTCTGCAGCCCCGGGCAATGCCGGCCCGCGACCTCTGCGCACTGTGGGGAGGCGAGTGGGAAGCCGGCTCGATTGCTGCACCGAGAGTGCCGAAGGGCCTGTGCGTGACACCGAGCACGGACGCTGCGCGCAGAAGGCTGCAGCCTGGGATCGCGACCTCCCAAGTGTGCCCTGGGCAAGACTCAGCAGAGAAGGCCCCTGTGCCTGGAAAAGTCAAAGGCAGGAGAAGGGGAAGGCGGGCTGAGAGGAATGGACTCCACAGAGAGAAGGAAAAGCCACTGGCTCCAACGCATCCAAGGATGACCAGCCGCGTTTTCGGCAAGGAGCATCCTTGCAACAGCCCTGGCGCCCCAGCTCAAGGCACATCATCTGGGGGCAACAGTGGAGAAACGCGGCACCCGAGGGACCAGAAGGGCCCCTGGACAGGCAACCTGAAAAAGACTGAGAAACCATCGAGAGAAAGCTGCTGCCTTCCCTTATTTTTACGTCGGTTGTCCCTGCACAGTGACTTCCTCCTTGAAAAGGGGAAGGCATGGGGGGCACCATCCGTCCTGCAGTCCGCAGAACCGGGAAGCTGCCCTGCCTCACCTCGGAGGGGGGGCATTTTAAACACCGCCGGGCAACTTTCTGCCCGCTTAGGGAAGGCGGGGACTTTTGGGGACCCTCTTCTGAGCCCGCACAGGATTTGGGCTCTTCATCAGTGGCTCACAAGTGGCCCCGGAGAAATGGGCCCCGGGACCGATTCAGAATGCCACATCGCTAGCCCTGGGCTTGTTTCGCTGCACAAGCAGTAAATACAGGAAGCCGCTTCGAGCAGGGCCGGAATGGCAGCGGCCGCTTCCTGGTTCAGCTTCTGCAGGCCTCTCGGCCACCCACCGCTCCCGGGAGGCGGCCGGGGGCTTCCGCAGGGCGCTCTCAGGCCCCGCGGCTGCCGGAGGAGCGGCAAAGGCGCGCGCGCCACGCACGAGCCCGCGTCCGTTTCCCGCATGCGGATGTGACGGGCAAGCGGCGGCCGATGGCGGCGCGCAACCTCCGGGCGGGGGGCGAGGCGACTTCCAGCACGCCGGGAGGGCGGCCGCGGGCAGAGCTCCCCCGCGGGGCAGCCGCCACCCCGAGCCCCCTTCCCGGCCAGGAAAAACCCCAGGAGAGGTTTGCAGAAGGCGCAGCCCCCGCGGGCGGGCCCCGGCGAGAGGGAGCAGCCCCGCTGGAGGGAAGCAGCGGAGGCCTCCCCGCGGGTGGGGACGATGGGAGCTGGAGTGCAAGCTCCCTGCAGCGGCGCCTGCATTCCCGCCCCGCGCAGCCGGGTGGCCAGCAGCCGCTCCGCCGCGCTCCTCGCGGGGAAGGGGGCCTCGAGCGCGGCGGGAGCCGGGCGCCTGAAGGGGGGCTTGGGGAGGCCGGAGCCCGCCCATTCAGCCGTGCTGCACGGTTTCCCACCGGAGCTCCCCGGCTGGGGATGATGGGAGCTGGAGCCCCCCGCCCGCCCCTACGTCCGAGGGAGCGCGCGGTGACTCAGCCCCGGGCGCTCCACGCGGCGGGGCCGCAATGGCCGGCAAAGCCGTGCCTCCCCGCACGTAGCATCCGGGCGCAGGGCGGCGTCAAGGGCGGCCGGCCGGGCGGGCGGGGAGGCGGCGGCGGCCTCGTGCCCCGACGCGCCGGGCTGCGGCACGATCGCGCCCCCGCC